TTCAAGTCCGGGCTGGATGAGGCTTTGGGCAACCTGGGCTAGTGGGAGGTGTCCCTGCCCATGGCAGGGGGGTGGAATTGGATGGGCTTTAAGGTCCCTTCCAACCCAAACCATTCTGTGATTCTGTGATTCTCCTGCTGGCTGCAGGGTGTTTAAAGAGCAGGAAGGAGGTAAGGTGAAAATAAGTGTGGGGTACCTGATGCACGGAAAAGAGGGGACTGCCACCTCCAGAGCAGCCAGCCCATCAAAGCAAAGAAGTTAAGCAGAACCTTCTGGAGATGTCTGCAAGCTCTTCAAACCCTGGCCATCTCCTGCTCCCCCAACTCACCGGGCTTTGTTCCCAGAGTCCATGAGGTCCTGGATGTCATTGTAGGAGGTCACAGCCAGCTTGGAAAGGTCTTCAACGTAGGGGCCCATCAGGGGATGCTCCCTCACCCGCAGGTTCCCCTTGTTCTTGGGGTTCAGGAGGTCCCTCACACGCTCACAGTATATCTCCATGTAGCTCACCTAGAGCAGAGGGCACAGGCAGGGCTAGCGGCTGGCAGGATGTGGATGCTCAGCACGTCGGCAGAATCAGGCCCTACCGTCCCCGCAAAGAGGGGTCTGCACACCAGTGCGGCTTGCAGAGCCGGGCGGGATGCTGGAGCCATGCTTGGCAGGGCATGGGGTGCGTACCTCCACGGAGTAGGACATGTTGTCATTCGTCGTGTCATTGATGCGGGAGAAGAGATCCTCGCACAGCTGCAGAGACAACAGCCAGGATACTCAGCACCTCCCACCAGAAAGATGCTCCTGCCTGGGCTGCCCAGGGATTTCTCCCTTCTCACCCCAAAAACCAGAGCCCCTGAATGCTGGGACAGCTCCTGGGGAGCTAGCAGAACTGCTACTGCTGAGATGGGGGGGTCAGCATCCCCAGAGCCCACCCTCCATGCCCTGCTGGGCCAGCACCCAGCAGCTCTCGGCAAGCACAGCCGGCGGGGTCTCGGCGCTTGAACCACTGCTGCTCGCAAACACCGGCTTTGTGTGGCCAGACGGTAATGCATCTGGTCTCGGAGGAGTCCAGCATCACCCTCCTTGTCCCCTCACTCTGGCAGCACCATGCCGGCTTGCTGCCACAGCAGGGCTGGGGTAAACCTCGGCAAGGCTTGGACCCGCACTGCTCCCATCTTCCTTCCCTGCTCTGCTTTTCCTTTGGGCATCCTGCTGGGACCAGGGGAAGAAGCAGCTTTTCACTGGGCATTACCTGTGGGATGATGCCTTGCTGGTCCTTCTCCTGCTTTCCCATCATGGTGTAGGATTTTCCAGCACCCGTCTGCCCGTAAGCAAAGATGCAGACGTTATAGCCTTCGAAGGCATGTTGCAACATCTCCTCGCCGATATCCCGGTACACTTGTTTTTGAGATGCATAGTTGATGTCTGCGGGCTGCAGAGAGGAAGGGTGGGGACAAGGGTAAATTTGACAAGGAGGTCCTCCTGCCTCCCCCCCAGCCCAGCGCTCCAGGCACTCCTCCCGTCGCTTACTGTGGTGTGGGACCAGTAGGAATAGTCAAAGCTGAAGCTTTTTGGTGTCTCTTTGGGCTGCTTCGGGTTCAGGATAGCTGGGGGCAAAGAGACGGAAACATGAGGCATGGTAATTTACAGCTGGCAGAGTAATTGTACTATTTGTACTATTTAATTTCTTGTATATAAGTAGGTGAAATTAAGGTTATTTGAATTTCTTGAATTGGCTGTATTTGTGGGTCAGTTAAGAGCTGTCAGCTGAAACAACGGTGACTCAATTTTTTCTGTAAGCTGGCACTTGAAATGTCCAAATTTACTGCTATTTAAATCGGCTTTTCTGCGTGTGACTACACACACGGATGCGCACACACACCTACAGGAAATTCAGTCCAAGTGCTGCTGCACCAAATGCTGAAAAAAATTCAAAGCTTTTCTTAAATTTTGTGGGGGAATGTCAAGAAAAAAATAACTGTATGCCGTATGCTGTACAGTTCATCAGTTTGAAAGTGCCCAATACCCATAGCTTGATATTTCCTGGGGCTTTACCTTCCTTCCAGGGCTGAGTCTTTCATATCTCACACTGTCAACCAGTCCTTTGTGAAAAGAGCAGATGTAACTTAATGGCTTTTATATTATTATTATTATTATTATTAT